TGTTACTGTCCAAATTTCAGGACGACAGAACAAACAGTTTTCCAGTGATTAAAGAGATGCACACGAATACAAACAATGTTCCTGATATTATTACAGATTATTCAGAATTGGAAAACATATAACAAATTATTTATTGAAATAAAACGCATTTTCAAATATTATTACATTCATTTAAGGCACAATTTTTGTGAAAAGTATCTGTCCTCTATCACAAAATCTTTATGAAAAAGTGATATTAGAATTTTAATAGTTGCAGATAATAGTAAAAATTATATAATTGTAATAGTTGTTTTAGTTGGAGATAATAACGACTTTCACTTCACACTCGTAGGAGGTTCCAATATTAATTATATATTTACTTAATTATTTATATTTGTGTTAGTACCAAGTTTTTTAAACCTAGATTGCTTATAAAGTAATTTTTTACAACTTTGCAAAATTTTCTACAACTAAAGAAATTTACTAAAAAAGAAAAAAAAAGATTTCACCTTCTCTGATTTCTTATAAAAATACTTTAAAAGACGAGGTTAATAGCAAAAGAATTTACTTCAAAATAATTTTTTTTAAATATTGTAAGCAAAAATATAGCAGAAATACGGTAATTAGCCAGACTCGAAAGTAAAATCCTAAATGCAACTAATTAAGAGGACAAGATTAAAATTTTAAATTTGCAGATGGTATTTTATTCTTTTCTTATTGCTTCTGACTAACACAACTGTAAAGAGTTATTTTAAAATTTTTTTCGAATAAGAATGTAATATTGGTTTACATCATAAATATGAAGGTAAATAATGTTTTTAAAAATTATGCTTGGCGATCTTTTGGTTTTTTTGTGAAATATTAAAACTGTATAATTATTATTTTTTAATAATAATAATAATAATAATGTGATGCTATATATAAAACTTAAATGACAGGAAAAAGTTTTTCGTTTCAATATGAATGCTCATGATGTTGTTCGTAAACAACATTTGTAATCAATAGTTAAAAATTCTGAAAAAATGTATCTTTTAACATTTATTTTCCCCAAAAAGAAGCTGACTGTAATAATAATAGCAATAAAAATAAAGTAATAATAATAATAATATTGACATAATAATTAAAATAATAATAATAATAATAATAACATTATTCATTTTCAAAAAAAATTTTAGGAGAGAAAAAGATAATTGAAAAAAAATTTAATAATATTTTTTATGCTAACTTTAGCTTCTTCTTGAACAATGCCTGAATGGAATATGTTATCTTATATTTTTCAAAATAAAAACGATAACATTATTCATTATTCTTTTTATTTATTCAGGATCAAGGTTACAACAATTGAAATGATAAGTCGTTAGCTGGTAATGTAGGTTAAATAGGTGATATGAGTTATGATTCATAGTTTAGTTTAGATCATTCTGTATGAGAGTAAACAAAAACAAAACAAACGTTTAAAAAAGAATAAACAAACATACAGTACCGCTCAAAAGTATCAGTAGACCTAGAAACTTATAAAAAAATGGCAAAATTCAAAGTGTCATAACTTCTTTAAAAATGATCAAAAATGCTTCTGCTTTATCTCATTTTGAAGCTTAAAATCTCTACTTTTATGTGCTCAAATTGTTTTTAATTAATATATTTTGCAATTATGTACAATTACACTCTAAACAATCATAGAAAATTGTATTAATTTTTTGTGAAGTTTGACGCGATGTACGGGCACAAAGGGGTTAGATATTGTTAATTTTAATTATACCATTGAAAAATTTGGACTTTTAGCTTTAATTTAAAAGAATGTATGTACATTTTTGTTTTCAAATTGTTTCTGAGAAAAATACGAAAAAATAAATTTCAAAATATTAAATTGTAAACGTTGATTCTTATTTCATTATTATATTTTCCAAAAAAAAAAGTTAAAATTGTTATAATAAATTATGAAATAATATTATCGAGAAATATTAAATTTTAATTTATTTTAATTAAAAAATTTTCATATCATATTATAATTACACTAAAATTCATTATAATTGCTGAAAAATCATTAAATTCTGAAAAAAAACCTTTTTTTTTATTTGACAATAACTTCGTCAAAAAACATGTTTTTTTGGAATTTTTTTTTAAATGAAAGCTAAAAGTCCAAATTTTTCAATGGTATAATAAAAATTAACAATATCTAACCCCTTTGTGCCCGTACATCGCGTCAAACTTCACAAAAAATTAATACAATTTTCTATGATTGTTTAGAGTGTAATTGTACATAGTTGCAAAATATATTAAATAAAAACAATTAGAGTACATAAAAGTAGAGATTTTAAGCTTCAAAATGAGCTAAAGCAGAAGCATTTTTGATCATTTTTAAAGAAGTTATGACACTTTGAATTTTGCCATTTTTTTTTATAAGTTTCTAGGTGGTACTGTAAGTTTGCTTTTTTTTCTCTCCTTAAGTGGACACAGCTTAGATAATTAAACGGTTAGGAAAAAGAGACTTATGTATGTGTTTTGGTACACTATAAAAAAAAATCATGGATCTGTTTCTCAGCTTCTAAAATTTAGTAGCGTTTTTAGAAAAATGCATCACAGTAAGTTCAGAGGTAGCGTAACATTGTGTTACAGGAGGTTTTCTTGATTTCTCTTACCTCCCAATGAGGTGTTCGGGGTTTGAATCCCGGCGATGGCTGGTTGAATTGAATTCCGCACACGGCTTGCACCGACCACAGTGCTGACGTAAAATATCCTCAGAGGTGGACGGATTATGGAAGTCCCGGATGAGTCCCCTTACCGTCCGGCTAATCGTAGTAGTTTTTCGTGGTTTTCCTCACCACGCAATGCAAATGCGAGTTAGTACCATCAAAGGGGTCTTTCTCGCAGGCAAATTTCTCTCAATACCTGATCCAGGAGTATCCTTGTCTTCTGAATTAGGTTCAAAATTACAAGGCTACGGAGTTGAACATTAGTAGTAGTAAATCCAAAATCGGGAAAGCTGTTCAACGACGAAAATAGAATAGAATGATTAATTTACATATATGAAAGTGAGACTATAAATAACATTGATACAGCATCAATGCAAGCATGTTCTATCAAATAAAAAATATAACGAGTTAATTAAATTTAAAATTATATTTATATAAAGTTTTCGTTTTGTAAGAAACGCGAAATTTTTACACAAATGTGGAGAACAAAATAATGTGGATAAATCAAGTTTTATTTATAGTTTTATATCTGCCAAAAGTGAATGCATAAAATTTTCATTTGATAATTTAGAGTTAAAATTATCATATTTTTTTATTATATAAAAATAATTAAGAACTTTTGTTTAAGCCAGTTAATTATAAAAGTTCAAAAATAAAATTTTAAAGTAATTTTCGAACTACATACCATACAGCATTAAAAAAGAATAGCAATTAAGTAAGTTTTTTTGCCTTTGAACTGCATTTGCAGAGAAGACCGTTTTACAGATTAGTAGTGAAATAGAATCTTTTCCCCAGTTCCTAGTTCCTCGCAACCTTCTTTTTTCTCCAATTATAAAAATTCATTTTTGATGATTATTATCATCATCATGACTGATCATCATTATTATCATCATTATTGATGATTATTATAATCATCAATGTTTTCGTATAGATTTCTAAGTGGGTGAAAAGAGTATTTTAGTGAATTGGTGTCAAATAAAATTTATATTTTCGAGTGAAAATACTTTTGAGTGAAATCAAGAGTCTCATTATGTGTAGTCTGTTTTTTTTTTCCTTAATGTCACACAATAGCTTATAATAAAAATTGCTGTAATGTTGCTTAATTGAATTAATCATTGTTATTTTTTATTAATTTATTTTATTAATAGTTATAATATGATCTAAGCATTAAATAGCCATTTATATACAACTAGTTATAAAATGGCTTGAAATAAAGATTTCGGTAACATTGTTTTAACGAACTGATTATTACTTGATTTTATTAATTTTGCAAATAAATTTAAAATTTCAGCATGGCAAATAATTAGTCTTCACCTTCAGCTTAATCTGTTTCTATTTAACTAATGAATTGCGGCTTAAAATTAAAAAAAAGTGAAATGAAATTTTTAATTAGGATTTAATTAATGTAAAATGATTAAATCCTAATGAACAAAATTGTAGGTATTTCTTAAGACTGATGAACTATTCATTTATTTATAATTGCTGAGCGAACAATTATTTTCTGAATAAATGATGTTTTTAAAACTATTAAATTTATTATCTTTTAATTTTACTTTTTTAACAAAAATAACGAAACTTTATAACTCATGTGTGCTCCCATCTGCTATTTTTTTTGCACCCATATTTAGAAAACATTTTAATAGAATGTGAGGTATAAGAAATGAAAACTAAACTAAACAAATTAGCAATTATTATTTCTATTTATTCTAATAGCAATAGCAGATGATTTAAAGATATTACTGATTAATTTGTTATTAGAATTATGAATTTGAAATTTTGATTAAATTATCATTTGAAAATGAAAAACGTAAATGTTATACACTTTAAACAATAAGTTTAGACCATTTTCCATTTGCATATTTATCAATAATTTCGATAATCGAGGATGTAAAAAAAAAAAAAAAGAATTAAATTCAATAATTAATAAAATCTGATTACCAGTACAGTTAACCAGATAGAGATATTTTTATAGTTTGAGCTAGAAAAAAAATATTTATCAGCTATTGCCTTTAATTAGTACACGAATTCTTTATTTCAAAAAATGAATATAAACATAAGTCTTAATTACCTTTTTATGAGAATTTATTTCTGACTATCGCCCTCATAAACGTATGAAAATAAGATATTTACGAATATTTTTCAATGATCTATTTAAAAAAAAAAAAAAGTTTGATCTTGAAATATAATTTTGATTCTAACTTAATAAATTCCAATAAAATTAGTAAATTTTAAATGTTTTTATAGCATTTAGGAATGCTCCATATTTGGATTTAAATACGCCAACGCAGTCTTCCGGATGAAGTAGATAAGGAGGAAATACGTGCAATACCTCTAAAAATGAAATGCACTAGTCATACACACATTTGTTTTGAGATTACATCAGCTGACTATACTCATCTGAAAAAATTTTCACTTACAATCGCCAAAATTAGATTGGGAAGTAAGTGCTGCGGATTCAACTTCAGTTCATTGGCACTTTATTTGGCGTTCACTCGCCCAGACTCTGGCGATAAAACGCTTTTCCTTCTCCCATCAGGCAACCCTTGGCCGAGAGTCGTTCCATGTCGAGTATTTTGCTTTGTTTACTATCGCTTCAAAAATTGTAGAACCGTTTCTATTCGCGCTATGGAAAATCAACTCTTGAAGCGTGTTTTTCGATGATGTATTCTTTCGTCGGGTTGATGAAGATTCTGTGAAATTCATTCCGCAATAAGGATTTTATCCGCGAAATGATGGCTCGATGCCCAGCTGGTGCCTGATGATAGAGAGCTGGCGATTCAAAATGGAGGCCAAATCAGTGGTTATCCCCCATCAAGTTTTTTGGTGTTTACAATGTGACATATTTTGGACTCAATTTTCGTGACTTGCGGCCTCACATGGGGAAAGAACAAGAACTTATAGAAGCCGCAAGAAGTGGGAATATAGCGACAGTCGAGCGGTATTTGAGTCAAAGAGCCAAAAGATCAGGTCCCCTCGCAAGGTAGGTTGAGTCTATTTTCGGTCTTTTCTGGGGGTGGAAACTTGGGGGGATGGGTCACATTTAACTCATTTTTTAATCCGTTATTTTATTTCTCGTTTACTGAATGTAATTGTTTCATTTACCGGTTTCTTTCTTAAAGTTGGCTTCACCGCAATGATTCTTTTTTCCCAATCTAACGGAATAACTGTATGTGTTACGAAAATTGTAGTAATCATTGCAGTGCGGGCAAAACTGGTCTAGTTTCTTGCATTTGTGATAGATATTTTACATTTTTAAAAGTATTTCTTAAGATGAAAACGTTATGTTTTTGATTATTATATTCTGAAAAAATTGTTTTATCACATATCTGCTATGCTATCTTTAACCTATCATATCTTTCAAGACTATTTTAATTGGAGATAGGAATCAAGAAAATTATTGATCTCTTTCCAGTATTGATACTTATCTTTGGAATTCTTTACTTAAAAGAAATAAGGATAAAACTGTTAAGTTTAGGCGTTATTTTAGTATTTAATAAATTATACACTACTTTTTATTTCGAATGGTGTACAATTTAGTGTAATGTTACTGGATATTTTAAGCAATAAGAATTATTATTATTCTACATTATTCGTAGAAATTTTTTAGAGATAGTTATTTTACATTGTATTGCATAAAAATAAGCTCATAATTTTTATTGCAATTTTCTTTGTTTATATTTTAATTTATATTCTGTGGTCTATGTATGTTCTGCAATCTATTGTCTTTTATAAACACATTTTATCGTTGAGTATTTATTTAAATTATAACCAAAATGCTTTTTGTATGAGATACTTTTATATCTAGGCCCCACCTTGCTTTTTAATGCCAAATAATAATTTAAATTATAATAATTCAAATTATAGCAGTTTAATTAAAGAAAATTTTTTTATCCAAATTCCTGAACGTTTTTAGCTTTATAATTGTAAAAACTAAGCATTTTGTGCATTCAGTTTCGAACATACAATACATATAATGCATATTAATAATATATTAATTCATTCTTATAATTTTTATACTTATAAATTAGTGTAATCTTGTTATTTTCATTTCCTTATAAATTCAATAATTATTAAATATATCATTACGTGCTAAGTATGTAAATATTCGTTTCTTGAATGTTGAATCATTTCACATTTGGTGCTTTTCATTTATTTTTTGTAGCTATTTTGAGCTTTACATATTCTATTTAGTTAAATTCTAGAGATGAATGCTTGCAAAATTATAGTGTGAGAAAACCGAAATCCACATTCAAAAGTCCAGAAAGTCAACAAATCTATCAAATCATTCCATTATTTATGATAACGCAATCATTACTAATGAATTCACGCTTCTAAACATTTTGAGTGGTTATCATTTATAGACATAAAAATATATCAGATATATTAATTATAATTATTTTAACATAGTTACTTTGGAATTGTGCACCCTATTTATTTTTTTGATTTAACAATCCTTTTTCTCCCCCAAAAAAATTCAAGTTTTTTGTATTTTTAAGTACACAAACATCAGTAAATTTAGTTTTTAAATTAAAGATTCTTTGAAGGATATTAAATAGTAATTCTTTTTTTAGCAAATTGTTTTTAATTTTCCTTTTCAACTGGTAAGCGTTTATATTTTGCTGTTACTACTTTTTTAAGATCACGTTAAAAATCTATTATTTTTATTTGATGTGAAGAAAACATTTTAATTAAATAAAACTCATTTTTCAGCTGCTCATAGAGTAGCTTTATCATTTTATAATACCTTACTTTATGTGTTTCATGCATCATTTAAGATAAAATAATTTAAACTAAATCAAACTAATTTTATGAAGATGCTCGTGTTTTATTGTATCTGTCAAATTTGAGACATATTTCTTATATGTTAAAAGAAAAAGAAAAACGTTTTAAAAGAACAATTCTTTAACAAAACTTATTTATGTAAACACGGTATGATAAATAATTTGGTTTTAGTATGTTTTTCTAATGATTAAGTTAAAATTCACTAAAAGACGTATTATTAAAATTGTCATGATCTTAACTGGTTTTAATATATTTTGTGTGTTAATAAACATGCATTTATTGGATGATATTCGGTTATTCGAAAACGTTTTTTTGAGCAGGTTTTTCTTAGTTTAAGTAAAGTAAAATATTAATAATAATAAACTAACATTTTTTAAAATTTTTTTGACTAAGGAGAGAAAAGAAAAAAAAAAAAATTCTGGTAAATTTACCGCACTGTATAGCAATGACGTTTATATACAATGCGGTAATTTTACCAGAAAAAAAGTAATAAAATTCTGGTTCATTAAAACAATATATACGATATTTAAACCATTCATTTTGTAATTTGTTCATTCATATGGTAATGGTTTACCGGGTAGTCATGTTACCATATAATTAATTAAAAATATAAAAAATTTATAATAATTGTTTTTTTTGCCATGCTCTAAGGTACCTCGATAAAAATTACTAAATTTTATTACTAAGTATGAAATTATAATTTATTGTTGGTTCTTACGAAAAGAATTATCAAAGTGTTTAGGTAAAAATTAAAATTACTGAGCTTTTAGGTGTTCCCATAGAACCAGAAACACGATAAATTTTAGCATATTCTGATAGTTTTGATCATACTTTATTTTCAGTGCATAAAGCTGTAACGATTAAAAAAAAGTTTTAGTTAAATAGTTATTAAGGACGAATTTTTTAAAAATAAACTTAATTTTTTGCTTATGCAGTTAACGGTATAATTTACATTAAAATGCATCAAGCCAAATTTAATTCAAATTAAAAAAAAAAAACAAATTTACCTTTCCCAGTTTATTAAAAGTTTCCATAGTTATTGCACAAGCACCTGCACACTGAAAGTATCTAATGTTTTGCATGAGTAAATAATATACAACGCTAAATTATTCAGATTAATATTTATCTCTGTTTACCCACCTTTAAATCTGATGTTTAAACCTATCTCCCAAAACATCATTGATATTCAGTGCGTGCATTATATTTATGCATACCAAACTTAAACATGCACATTTATCGTTATTTCCTGTTTTCGTGCAAAAGTAGCATTGTTTGCTACAAAGTAAAACAAAACAAAGCCTGACATTCCAAATTGAAATGCTTCATCAAAGGTCATTAGATCCCCATCAATACACGCGTACTCAAGTAAAAAGCCTTGTTTATTTTCTATGCGTCCAAGATGTTGTTTCAAAAATAGGTATCAAATTAAAAGTAATTAAGATGGAATCTAAGGCGGAAAATGTTGTCGGAAACAAGCTGTGCCCTTGGTTATTCAATAACCACAGATGAGTAACTGATCTACTTAACCTGTTTAATGGAGAAAATATGGTAATAGTCACAGAATACGTGCCATCAGGTACAAATGATACCCCAGGCAATGCATCTCGATGTTAGTGGCTCAAGTGAATGAAATTAAATACCTATATAGATTGGTGATAAGTTGTGAGATGGAAAGAATGTAGTAATGTAATATTTTAATCAATGACAGGAGGGACAATTGTAGGGAAAGTATGGAGAATTGATTTCATTGTAATTTGTCATGATGCCACTAAGCCTTCTTTTTTAAGTGCAATTAGTGCAAACAATATGGCTAATAATATTATATTTAACCATCAGGTACGAATAATACTCCAGTCTTAAGTTGGGCTCAATATTAGTGGTTCAATTTTATGAAAATTAACATCCATATAGATGCGCTGTAAAAAAAGGGGGTTTCTCAAAGTTGAGCAAAAATGTGTCAGAATAGCTTCTAAACAAATAATAGTCTAATTCGAAAACTCCCTATTCAAAACTGAAGCAGCAAATACTCATTTTTGAGTAAAATGCATAGTTCCAAAGGCTATGTGGACGGAGAAATATGTAAGAGATAATTGTTGGCCGCAGGCAGGATTCGAACCAAATACCTTTGGGTTCTTGGGAGGATACAGTAACCACCATCGTTGTGATGTTTCATTGCAGCTGGCACTATTTAAAGCTTCTGAACTCTCCCTGACTGGGTTGTATAACTATGGTAGAGCATCCTTCTATGAACCCGGAGGTCCTTGGTTTAAAACCTGCTGGTGATCAACAAGCATTTCTCTCTTTTATCCTTTTGAGACTGAATTTTGCTCAAAAATGAGTATTTGCTGTTTTAGTTTTGAACGCATATGGGTTTTCAAGTTCGGCCATTATTTGTATCTGAGCTATTTTGACACACTTTTGCTCAATTTTGAGCAACCTTTTTAACAGTGTGGGTAAAAAATTGTGAGCTAGAAAGAATGTGATAATGTAATTTCTATAATAAATAAAAGACAAGGACGACAATAATCGAAAAATATGGGGAATTTCTTTATTGTAATTAAACACTTTTTACGATGCCATTAAAGTTTTGTTCTTAAGCGCAAACTTATTTTTCTTAATAGAAATAGCAAATATTTCAAAAATTTTATTAAGTGTAGAATCTACGATTTATAATTGGTGCTTGGAATATCAAGAAAAAATAATAACTGCAAAAGCTATGCGCATTAATAATGAAAATATTTCCAACTTTGAACTCGACGTTAGGTTTTTTTTTAAATTTATAATATACTAAAAAAACTAAACAATATAAATTTGTAAATAATTTTTTTCACTAGATTTATCTACAAAATAAAAGCATTATCTATTTGTTTGTCACCAGATAAAAAACATTTTATGTATATGTTTCTCAGCAAACAATAGAATAGATATATATTACATTGATGACATCTAGGAAAAAATATATCTACATTATTTTATATTAGATTTAAGTATAATATTTAATATAGGTCATAAGCCAAGTTGGAAAGATTTAAATTTTCATTATCCCTTTTTAAATCCCTGGTGTTCAAGATAATTTTTTAAAAAAAATATTATAACTCAAAATCATTTTTTGCATAATAACATCTAAAACTTCATCATGCATAATTTTTTAAACTATCGATTAAATTTAATTTTTTACTTCAACTTTTAGAAAGCATC